ATTATTTTGATAAAAACTGTTTCATAAATTGCGCTTTACACCATTTATTACCTTTTTTATTTTTCAGATTCAAAATACTGTATAATATATCACAAAAATGGAAGCAATGTCGCTTTATAATACGACAGTGAAAAATATTTTTTAAATGTTATTTCTTAAATATAATTTCAATAATAATGTAATGATAATTTCAGTAATTATTTTAATGGAATTTATCAATATTATGAGGTTTTAAAAAATTGTCAAAAAGCTCTCAGCTCTCCACTAAGAAATTTTCTATAGAAACTGATCTTGAAATCACCAGAATGTTGATAAGTCGTCTAATTTAGAAATATTTAATAAAAGACTTCACATTTCTAAAAGCGAAAAGTTGTTTAAGAGCTCTTCATTAGAAAAAAAATGAAATAATTTTGATATTCTTGTTTCAGTTCTTGCCCAGAAACTCGAATATCCCACCATTCATATTAGAAATACGAACAAATTATAACCCGTGAACCCATTCAAAAGATAACCATGCTTGTCAATGACATGCCAAAATTATTGCTCGAAAATGCCAATTCACGCTGAAAATGGCAGTCATAAAAACAGACAGAAATTTCAGGTGATTAAGGACTTTCTGCTGATTTTGGGCAAAATTAAGGACATAAGGGTCAAAAATCAGTTCCAAAAAAACCTAAGGATTGTTAAGGACCATATGAACCCTGTCTGAATACACTCATAGTAGCTTGACAGGGTTCGTACACATTTCTGCGCATGGAAATTAAGTACTTTTAAGGACCATTAATGAAAAAAATTAAGGACCTATGAGCAAGTGGGAACCGAATAAATTCAATTAAAATTATTATCTATGCCCGAACTTCACTTTTGTAATTCCCAGAGCCAGATTTAGACTTGATAAGGCCCTAAGCTATGCGAGGTATGGGGCCATTTATGAGTCTATTATACTATATTTTAATTTTCTGGGGGTCCTAAGCTATAGCTTACACAGCTTATACGTACATCCTGCACTGGTAATACCATCCTAAAAATAAAATATATCTGTAAGTAGGATGCATTATTATTAAAAATGAATTAGTTAACATAATTATTGATAAGTTTGAGAATAAAATAAATTTTATGAAATTTAGCAAGTAGCATTAAATATTTTACACACATAATAGTTGGAAATATTTGAAAGAAGATAAGTGACATTTTATTTACGTTTTATTAACAGTTAGCTTTGTGTTTTTTTTTTTTTTTTAAATATCTCATTTTGTCATATAGTTGCATAGCTGTTAAGTCTAGAGGTTTAGTAAATAACAGGTAGATTTTATGTCAAGCAGCATAGGTTAAAATGAGAAGTAAGATCATAATCAACATGATTCATAACAAAAGACTGGATGTTGTCACCACCGCTGCTTGCCTACAGAGAAACTTGGAAGAAACCTGAAAGGCCTTATGTAGGCACGGTGGTAAGTTTTGAAAGTTAGTTGGTTTCTGTCTGATGCAGTAAGTGTCGTAGCTTCGTGTAGAGTTCCAGGGGTTGTAAACCAGTTAATACTTATTAAGGTTCTAATAAGCCATTAAAGCACCAAAGGTTACGTTGTTTTGTATTATTTTAAGTCTCACTAGATGCAAAGAATAAGTTTTACATGAATTTTTACATTTTTGTGTTTTACCTTGTAACCACAGTAAGAATTAATGAAATTCAATAACTCGCTTTAATATGCAGAGATAATTTTTAAGGATAAGCAGTTAGCTATAAATAATTAAATTAGATAGTTAGATAACCTTAGTCATTATGGATTTACATGAGCACTATTAAATTTTATTTATTTTTAACAATATTTGTTAAAAAAGCCCTATTAAAATCCCAATCTAATAAAATTTCACATTTTAAAATACATGTAATTTATGACATTGATTCTTAAACGATATTAGGATAATTATTACACATTAATTGCTACAAAACACAAGTGTTTTGTAACAAGAACATTCAACAAAATATTTATGTGTCTTTTTAATTTGAAGCCTTCCCAAACATTTTGGCTAATTTATACCAATTTACTTCTCTTTTCTAACAATCAGAAATTTGTCTCAATACGCAAACTTAGTGTTTTCACTAGTTTTGGGGTCCTTTATCTCCTAACTTGCCAACCTCTCCACAATGCATCTATGAGAGTTTACTTGATCTGGTAAAAGTTAAATAGTCCAAAACCTATTGACAGGCTTCAAGCAAATCATGTCTGAAAATAACTACAATGTCAGGCAAAGGTTTAAATAAGCCTCTTATTTAAAAAGAACTTAAACATAAAGGCAAGTTCTGATGCTAACAAAATCAGTTAAAGCTCATGGTGATATAATTAAACAAGAACAGTCAAATTCAAGCTAAAAATGTGGACTAGTGGTCATTCATTGTGTATAGAAAGAGATCATCATGATGCATGTGGACTTAGTGGTCAAAGACTATGCAGTTTAATTTTAATTTAAGCTAGCTGAATAACTCTATCATATGAGGACACAGAAATGAGAAATTATAGTAAAGATTGAAATCATAAACAACAAGGTAATTTACATAATAATAACTGTACATATCTTTGAAGAATATTTTTTTTTATGTATTCAGTTTCTTTATTCAAGATGATTCCTTTCCACTCTAGAATTTTCAGATTTAAATAAGGATTTCTGTTATTCTAAAAAAATGCATTTAGAATGTATAGAAGAAATATGAAAAATATATGGTAAGGGTCGGTTACAGAGCTGGTGTGGCAGAATTTTTAGAATTTAGTGACACACACCAAGCAAAAACATCTAGAAATGACAAAACTTTCAGAATTTTAAGCAGACATTGGAACAAAATTTAGAAAGGCACTAGGCAGCAGAATTTAGGATCCACAGAGACTGCATCAGGTAGAAAAATCCCTAGCTCTAGCTCTGTGTGTGATGCATTAAAACATAGATTAATCTTTAAAATAGCAAGTTTTCATTTTTTTTTATTTCTTTAATTCCCCACCTGTTCATGTGATAAGATTAGAAGCATTTTTTGATATTTTCCATTCTTGTGTCTAATGAAAAGTAGAGAAAATAAAGGGAAGATAAAGATTCCAATATTAGAAGTAAAAACATTCAAATATTATGTTTTCATTGTTCTTCCAGACTTTCTCCAAAAAGTAAGAAATTCATCGCAAACTTTCTGTAAAATACACCCCTTACGTGTTAATAATACCATGGAGACATTTTTCATTTTATCACATAGTTCTTTAATTTTATAGAATCGTGAGTCTATAAATCTAGCCTTCAAATCCTCTCCAGCCTTCAATGTCTAAAGTCCTAAAGAAAAATTATCCCTACCAATTCTGTAACAGCAAAAAGCCAGAAATATTTTGAAAAAAAGAAAAAGAGGGAAAAAGTGTAAAATTAATTTTATAGAGAAAACTGATACATAATCTGAGAACTCTGAATATTCTGAGAAAATTACATGGGAAAAACTCTTACTATGAAAAAATTGGGAAGACATTTTTAATTAATTACATAGCTAATTTTGCTCTTGCTAAGAACAGTTTGGTAAACTGTACTTTATAGCATTATACCTTGTTTATTTTTCAGATTCAAAATATTGCACAATAATATAACTTTGTAATATGACAGAGAAAAATAAAAATACTTTATTTTAATGTAATTTTTTAAATATAATTTCAAAATATTACCATTATTTTAATGAAATTTATCAATGTTACAATGTTTTAAAAAATATTGTCAAAAAATTCCCAGATCTTGGAATTAAAATTTTCTATAGAAACTGATCTTAAAATTGCCAAAATGTTGATAAGACGCCAAATTTAAAACTGTTTAATAAAAGAATTCACATCCCCAAAAGCGAAAATTTGTTTGAGAGTTCTTCATTAGGAAAAATGAATTTCAAAATGCTTATGTTTCACTTCTTGCTTAGAAACTCGAATATACCACCATTTATATTAGAAATAGGAACAAATTATAACCCATTTAAAAGGTAACCATATATGTCAGTGAATCGGTAAAACTATTCCTTCAAAATACTAACTCACACTCAAAATGGCAGTCGTAAAAACAGACAGAAATTTCAGACGATTAAAATTAATGACCTTCTGTTGAATTTGGCCAAAATTAAGGACTTTTAAGGACCAAAAATCCATTCCAAAAAACCTAAGGACTTTTAAGGACCATACGAACCTTGCTTGAACAAGGGTACTGACATTTAATTTCAGGTACAATGTCTCCATTATGAATATGTTGGAAATGACTTCAGAAGGATAGCCAATCCTTAATGTCACCACTAGACTGACTAATCTATCTAAACTCCATGGATTAATTTTCTTTTCAGAACTGGTGAGAGTAACACAGTTTTGAGACTCATCTGCCTCTGGTGATTTTGCATGATTTGGCACCAATTCCAGTTCGAGTTGCCTTATTTTTCCAGTTTTTTGTATGCTATTCGTTTTTTTTATTTCTTTTTGTCCTCGTTCACTATCAGTCATTACCAAAAAATCTGTAACAAACTCTGGGTCTTACAAATACTGTTTACAATGCAAAATAAGTTCTTTCAATTCCGTTATTGTGATATTTTGAGGTAATGTCGCACCAATTTCTTCGGCGACATACAAGTCCTCTTTCTTAAATCCTTTTACCGCTTGAAATATTATTTCAAATTAGATGTAAAGACCTATCACTCGACGCCAATAAAATGCAAATAATAACAGGAAAACAAAAACTTACAAATGGCTTTTAAATCACAGAGATGAACTACAATTCTCCAGATGAATGAAAATGATAATATAAAAATTAACACCTATTTATTCAGTTAAATATGGCTAAAAATTAGCATTACGAATTAAAAACACCATGTAAGTAGCACTACATCTACCAAAATTAGAATTCAACAACCAGCATATCCATTCCACAACAGGGAAAACACAAACGTAAATTGAAAATCACAGGTGAATTAGTACTTAAATTGAAATATTGATGTTAAAAAAACTTCATACTTTTCAACTTCTTCAGTTGGAGAAGATGGTGAAATGTAAAAATAGCTTTCCCTCTGCCTGGTATCTTCATCTTTTTTTCCTGAATTGAAGAAGTAAAGTATTAATTAATATATTTTGAGCAATTTGTGAAAAAAAATAAGACTTAACAATTTTAAACGCTATTGTTTTTCAAAATACAGTTTTTGTAAGCACTATTGTATTAAACACTGTAAATTAAGAAACTTTATGTCACTGCTATTTCGTATTAATAATGAGGGTCTATAGCTGCAATCTGAAAGTAAAAAATAGTTGTCACTATCATTTAAATACACTAACACCATCATATTCTGAAAACATGAATAACTACCATATTTAAATGCTCTAAATATTTTTCATGAAAAGATGTATTGCCTTGAGGTGAAGAGCAGATTATACTGGTCACAATTTTCTAACAAGACATTTCCGGGGGAAAAAAAAAAAAAAAAAAGACAGCACTTCTCACTCTGCAAAGCCAAATAATGCTCTACTTTGTTTCAGACTAAAGCAAAATCATATACACAGTGAACCAATTCAATCAAGAAAAGCTAATCAACTTGCAGATTTCCCACAATCTTATTCTACTGATATACTTTTAGTTACGGCCGTAGTTCAGTTTGGAAGCAGTTACTAACAGAACTGTTAATACACAAATTTTGATTCCATAAAATAAGATTATTATTCAGGGTAGTAGGCCCTCCAAGTAAATATCTGCTATTCAAGATTTTAAGCCCTCCTTTTTGGTGTGCGCATGTAACATGAAACTTAGAATTAAGTAGTTCAAAGTGTGGTGATAAAAATGTTCTACATTTTGTCATTATTTAAAATATCATTTAAATCACTGAATGCATTTGGCAAGTTCATTGCAGACATCAGTCAAGCTATTGTAAAATAATTTTAAGACTGAAATTGTATTTTTCAGTACAAGCAAGTATTCCATTTTTGAATTAAGCTAGCATGAGTTTCATGATATATTAATGCATGATTGTGGCTGCCCAGACCAGCTTTTTTCACTGGTATCTTTCTGTTGAATGAGCTGTGTCAAGAATTGCAGGTACACCTTGTTCACTAAAAACATGGAAATTCATAGTCTATTATTTCTAAAATTTTAACCATTAGAAATAATTGCATTAAAAATATTTTCCAGTACACCAAAAACAGCCTCAATAATTTCACAAGAAATCAAAATTGTTTTTAAAAATTTGTCGTTACAAAATTTGTAACCTTAGGGCCAGAATTTTTAATCAAGCCCAAGGAGTATGGTACAAGCAAGTTTCAGAACAGCTGACTAACTTTAAGAATAAATAGTCTGAAACTATACATAACACACAGTATGACTGATTTCATGTTTTGCTAGATAACAGATTAAGTGCTGCCCAACTAGGATAGTGGTTAGTGACTCTGACTGCCATACTGAAGGGCTCTTGTTCAAATCCTTGAGAAGGCGTGGACATTTGTAAATGTATATATAGTACGTGAGTGGCATGGAGACACTCAAAATATGTGGTGGGCCGAAAGTCCTTTTGAGAGGTTGGAAGTAGGGAAGAGAGGTAGGAGACACTCCGAACCATCTCTCTGGAGTGCTCTCCTTTAAAATTGGGGACGGAACTCAGCAAAGTTCTACTGTCACCTATATGGTGCTCAAGGCTCTTGCCAATGACAAGTGCAATCCTGTCTCCTTGTTAGGATGAATTTCATAGACTTGTTCTGATATCAGACAAACATGATTGGTCACAACAGATTTTTCTAATGGTACATGATCATACATACCATTAGAACTATATATAATGTAATATGGGAGGTAAATATAGTTTGTACATAGTTATAAATATTTTTTTAATTCACTACACAACCAAGTCTTAAGCTGGATTTGTACTGCACAGCTAACATTTTCACTGATTTAAAATACCCCAGTAGCACACATCTTCCTGTCATCAAGAATGACAACTTCTCAGAGCCTGTTTCGTATTTGCTCCCACTTAAATCATTACTCTGCTTTTATAGTTTCTCGCATCTCTAAATGTAAATTTCCCCTCCTAATTTACCTTGCATTTGAAGCTTCTGTAATAATAAGTAAGTTAAATTTTACTGTTTAGTTTAATCTGAAGGTAAAAGTAGGGAGGGGAAAAATCTCTCGCTTATGTTACAATAAACAATATATACTTGACCTACAAAATATGGAAAATCAAATTATGTGGATTTTTTTAATACAGAAGTAGAGTCCCAGGAAATCTGAAAATCTGAGCAATCTTTTCATGACAAATTACAATACATTCCATAAATATATTAAAATACTAAAATTTAAAGTATATATTCTAAAAATATGTATTACCTCCAAGATTCTTGATATTTTTCAGTTTGAAACACACTTCATCAATAAGCTTATCTACATCATTTATCTGAAACAAATGTTCTCATAAGAAAACTATATTATAACTGCTTTAAAAAAAGTTATAAAAGCCTCAGGATTACAGATATAATAAATAAGGATTTTGCAGTTAATGATAAAATAGTCAAAAGCTAGATCTAAATTTCTTTACAATCTACTGTCCATCTAATCCATTACTAGATTATGCCAATTACAAGACTAAATTTTGTTAATGGGAAATTCCTTACTTATTTAAATTTACCATTTCATATCCTTTAAAAATTGTCTTTTCTAATTTCCATGCACCTAGGTCTTATGATAATCCTAAAATGAGACAATAATAGCCAGTTTTCCTTTCAAAACTAATATTCTTGCACATCTCTAAAATACCAAAAACAGCAACTAAACAATGATTTCAACTTGGTATCATTTGTTTAATTTAAATCTTAAAGACATTGTTTGTGATGGGACAACTTCCGTCCTAAGGCTATTGCCAATTGGAATTAAGTGCTGCCCCGCACTATTTAATCTAAAATGCAACAATACCACGACTGAGGGGCAAACACGATAGTACCAGTAGGTCCCTGCCAAGCCTGGACCAACGTGAGCGAACTTGGGTTCCAGTCCTGTGAAGATTGTTTGGCCCCGTGGTTGAGACTATCCAAGTATGGATCCTAACCAGTACTTCCCAGGAATTCTCCTGAGTCAACCCCCCCGGGGAAATCTTAAAGACAGTAGAAAATAGCTACAGTGTTTTTATGGGAGTTCTTAGTGTTCTTACAGTGCTTCCTATTTGCTTACAGGAAAAAAAACATGGCACACATACTGTCTGCATTTGAAGCAAACTTTCAACCCAGTCATTAAAATATTCATTAAAAAAAAAAAAAAAAAGCAGCAGCAGAATTTTTAACTTGCATCAGCTGCTGATGTCACTGCTATAACCATCATGAAAATCTACATAGATTTAACCACTAAAACATTAGTGACAAAAGACATCCTGCTTATTTGAAGCTATCTCACAATACAATGGGCTCACAACACATGAACACAACCTATGGGCTCATTCATGCACCTTTAACTTCAACAGGGTTTGCTCATATGCTCCTCAAATACTTCATCTTACCTTACCTCGCACATGTGTTCTACAGAATATTACGGTTCACAACTATGTTTCTTAATAAAAGACGCTCACTCATGCTTCAGCAGCACTTTCAAAATATCAGAGCCCTAAGCTGGGAAAGGACTGCTATAGATATGGAAAAATTTTTTAAGATTTTGCTTGCTCCAAGAAAGACATAACAGCATTTACATCCTATTCCGAATATGCTCTTATTCCAGTTACTAAACTACTCACTTAGCTGAAAATCCTAGAGTTTAATATTAGCTCATATAACAATGTTTCTAACATTCAGCTATAAATGGTACCAAAAGCACAACAATTATGAAATCCTATACAGAACTAACCAATACAGTTTTAGCTTCAGAGGGCTTTTCAATTTATAACGAGTAAAGATATGCAACCAAAATTAAATTTAAATTATGAATAAAGCTGGTAATACTTGTAAGGCATTAGGCATCATTTTTGCTATTATTGCAGCTGTTTTCTTAGGAGAGTTTTCTCTCAAGTCTTCTTAGACTCTAACAGGAATTTGCTTCTGTTCCTTTTGTAACAGGATGAAAACTTAATGAATGATACCCAGTTGAAAATACCTGTTACCTGAATAATGAAAAATTTCTCAGTAAAGATCTTCAGTGAGTATGAGCCAGACAGGCCCAGCTTTAGACTGCACTGATAAGCTTAATGTTCTGCAAACCCTGAAACTTTATTTCATGAAATGGAATGCTGTCAAATTGAATGAGGAAAAGACATTCCAAACTGATGCTAAAGTATGGAAAGCAAGTTCTACAATAGTAACAATCGGTATTTCAAAAATTTTCCATTTTTAATTATTCCAACACCCACCTTCATAATTTTATTTCTAGGCTTTCAATTCATATTTAAAAATTAATTTAATCTGTGCTGAATCAACATTTGTTGGCAAGACAGAAAAATGCTTATTTGAAGAAATACACATAGGCAAACTAATTTAGCTTTAGTACTTTGCTATAGGTTCAAAAGAGTAGTACAAGATCTTACGTGCTCAGATGCTGATCTTAAACATTCAATAGCAGCTTGTCTTTTCATTCTTTCAAGATCACAAGATATAGTAGTACAACAGGCAGCTCCTGAAGTTAACAAAATTTGTTTACCCCAAGTTTTCCATTTCTGATGCTTTGCTTTAGTAACAGAATATAAACTTTCAGGCCCACCATACTGCAATAAATAATTCACATTTTCAAATTTAGAAGAAATAAATATTTAAATATTATAAACATTAGTGAATAGGGATTAGTAAAATAGCACGATGTTTAACACTAGAACTACCAACAATTAACAGATTCCATTTCTACAAAGAGAAATTTCTTAGTTTTGTCAGATTGGTAGTTTTAGTGTTAAAACACATTTCTGCTCCCAAGCATGCATGAAATATTCTTGCTGCTTATAAATATATTTAATTTTACCAACAGTAGCCTAAAAATTAGATTAAAAAAGCTATGTACATTTTTTTAATTATAAAAACTGAAATATTTGTCTAAAATAAGGATTTATTTTCTAGAAGTATGGAGCATTCAAAACAAATGTATCATTTAAATAAAAAAATTTAGCAAATACAAAGTGCATATAAAAATTTAAAAGCTCTGCATAAATTTCAAAATATTATCATGAATGTTGTTAGAGAAATCATTAGCAGTCTCTGATTTAAAACCTCTTTTTATGAACGTATAAAACAATACTTTGATAATTTAATTTTTAAAATCACAATGATTACAAATATCTAGATTGAACACAATTTTATGTTGAGTTTTTAAATGTTCTTCAGTCAAACTGCGTTTCTCTGTTTGGACAGATCTCAATTTAAACTCAATTTCTGCTCAAAATTTTGAGCAGTCCTGTACACTCGTGGCTAAGTGTGTTTTTAGTTACCACAGAAAATTAATCAATAAATAAACTTCCTATTTATTTTAATTATAAAAATTTCATTCATAAAATGCATAAATTTATTCAAATGTCTTCCCCTCCCCCACATCATTCATCAAGGTTCCTTTACAAAGCTGCTGTTTTTCTTTCAGTACTATCTGGAATTTATATGGGCACTCTTCTGTTTTACTGGGACCAGAATCAAAAATTTATGTATGTAGGCATGTGTATGCACATACGTGTGTGTGTATAGACACACATACATAGTATGTGCATATATACATGCATACATGAAAACATCCATCCATTCATACTTGTATGAATGCATAGATAGATTTTTTAATGTGGTCCCAATAACAGAAGAGTACCTTCATGTGTTACGATATGAGGGAAAAAAGGTGTACTTCAGACTGGATGATTCAAATCCAACTGGTGGCTGATAAAAAGGGGATGTGGAATGACAAAATAGACAATAGCATTTGCTGACCAACAGGTTATATTTCTCTTCTTTGTCATTTGGGGAATTAACTGGACTCTTGTTTGCCCTTCGCACTCTTAAATGCTTTGTCTAAAACTCAAAGTCCAATATCAGATCATATCAATACTCTCTCTCTCTCTCTTTTTTAAGAAAATATAAGTCTATGTTACTCCGGGGGTGGGGGTGGAGGGGTGATTTCAATTAATCTAAGCAAAGGAATTTGAAAAAAGTATAATCACTCTTATTTTTATGTTAAATATAACACAGACTCATACCTGCCAACATCTACAGATAAAAATTCAGAAGATTTCTCCCCCAAATTCAGAAGAACACAAAGAATTAATATCCTGCTTTGATATTAAAAAAATAACAATTTATACAAATAGAAAAAAGAAAATTGTACTTACATTAGTAAATCTCAATTAAGTAGTAACTAAAAAATTTATTAGGAAACATAAAACAAGAACGTAATGTTACACAAAAAAAATTATTGCAATGAATTTAGAGTGCATTTTTTGGCTTTAGCCAACAATTCGTTGGATAATTTCCTGTCATAACAATTACTTTCATCATAACATTTAGCAATTAAAATGTTTTCTAGAGTTTTTGGTGAAATTGAAGAACGAAACATAGTTTTGTTTTCCTTCACCACACTGAACTCTCGCACTCAGCATTACTGTGTGGAATTACGAGAATAGCACATAAAACTCTTGCTAGTCTATCATATTTTGGTGTTCCATCAGCTCTTTTTATTCTTTTTAAGGTACCAACGAGGACATCAAGTTTATATTCTCCAGAACTGGCAAAGTCTTCACAAACTGTGCAGCAGAAAATTGGTTCTGTAGTTCATCATCTAAAGCATCATTATGGCATTCATTTCTTTAATTGTTAACAAAAATGGAAATTAAATTTATCAATAAAAAAAAAACAAATCTTTTCAAAAGATGAATTTTCAATTTGTTTCAAATTTGCCACTTCAGCATTTAAAAGAACTTCATTTTGCAAAGGAAACTTCCTTACAATGTAATCACAGGCTGAGGAAAAGTACTTTCTAACACACTGAAAAAATTCTTTTTCTCATGATCTTTCAAAGAATTTACGAGTTCCCTGGTTTGATTTCCAATTATAAGATCATTGTCATCCTTTTGATTTGCCAAACTATTATAGGCAACACGAATCAACACACTGTTTTTCACAACGGATGGTTTTACAAACTTAGTTATAAAGTTCTTTCAAAAGATCATTAAGAATTTGGATACACAGGGGAGATTTTGGCAAAGCTGATTGTAGAAGGGTATTTAACACTTTCAAAAATCTTAATGGTACTTAACACAAAATCTACAATATGCTTTGTTCAAATCCGAAGAAAGAAGATAGAAAATCCTTTCCTCCCGGCTAATAGAAGACTGTTTCTTTCTTCTTCCCTTCAACTCTTTAACAAAGTTGACCTTTGAGGAGTCTTCTAAGCATTTTCTTTTTAAAGGGTTTGATTCTGTGTGTTGGCTTTTCTCTTTTAAAGCATTTTGATTAGAAGCAAAGTTGGTTTTCGGAATCTTATATGCCGACAAATTTGATGGGATCTGTGGTTTCGTTTTGGTCTCTTTGTGGAAATATTTTAGCAATGCATCCCACTGTTCAATAAACCTTCCTAGCGCTCTGCCTAAGGATAACCATCTCGTGCATACATGTTTCAGAATTTTTTCTCGTTTCACCAGAGCACAGTTCTTGGAAATTCTTTAGGCTTTCTTTCCTTTTTACACTTCTTTCCAGATAGAAAAACACATCAATCAGAAGCTGGTCAATATTTAATGATAAAGCAGCTGCAGCTTTTTTTTCTGCTGCCAATTAATTAAGTGGCATGGGCATCCAATAACAATTAATTCATTTTGTTTCTTTTTTGAGGAAAGAGGCTACATCCTTTTGTCACCCCACCATGACATAAGCATTATCTGCACCAAAATGAAATGCAGTTTGATATTGGGATGTTAAGTTGTTTCAACTCCATTAATTACCAAGGAGGAAATATTTTCCCCCGTAGCGTCTCCATTTAACAATGGAAGATGCAAAAGATGAGTTTTCATTTCATTAGAAACATCACAGAAATATGTGACAACGATGGGGTAAAGCTTGTAATCGCTGTCATTGCTGCCATCGATTGACACCGAAAATGCTGAATTCGGGAGTGCAGCTATCTTTTTACTTTGTGCATCGCAAGCAATTTCGTTTACAATAGAAGATGTTTTCGTGCGAGCACAAGCATATTTCTGAGCAATCTTGGAGTCAGGAAACATCCGTCTGAAAAGTTGACCGGCGTGATCGGCAGCGCTAAGCGGCACGTTGTGTTCGATGAGGAATGCAGTAAACAAACACTCTGCCAAAATGACATCGGCATCCAAATTTGAAAAAAAAATCATCCACTTTCTTTGACGTTGTTGAAGCCGAAGCATTAACTTCATGCTTTTTAGACTTAACATGCTTTACAATGTCGCTTCTTCCACTGTGACTTCTTCCACCGTGAAGTCACACACGCACACGTTGCAAAATGCATAGTTATTTCCTTTGAAGGATTCTTTAATTGTTGGAAATTCGGCTTTGCAGGCAGGACGAAAATATTGAGAATACGGTTTTTTTTAACTCATTTCGTAACAATGACGTATTAAGAAAATTCGCAGCACGTGCAAACAACAAAAAAAAAAAAAAAAAAAAAAAAAAGAGAATGCGACAATCCACGCTAAAAAAATAATCTGGCGCCCACAAAGAAAAGAGTGGGAGAAACAAGTTCAGCGCATTGGATTGGCTGGTTAAGCAGTGAGTTGGGAGAAACCACAGGTTACTGGATTCGAAGTAGTCGGTAGTTGGCGGTAAAGCACGATGCAATTGGCGAAAAATTCTAAAAATTCGACAAAAATCACTAAAAACACTTGAAAAAGGAAAAAAATCGTAAAAAATGGATTACGATCGTAAAATCGTAAAGACAAATGCATTTTCGTAAAAATTACGAAAAATTTGTAAAAGTTGGTAGGTATGCAGACTGATTTTTAATAATTTCAGAAACATTTTTTTTTTCAATTTTTTAAAATACAAATAGCATTTTAAGCTAAACCAGAACAATAAACTTAAATATGTACAATAGGAATAACATAGAAGCAGAGCTAAATATCTAACACTAAAAATACGCATGATCCTTTCTTAACTGAAATTTCATGTATGCATATTTTGTAATTCTTTGAAGGATGTATAAACAGTGATTCAGTTCATTAATACAATTTGATGGAAATCTTAATGCAAATAAAACATGTGAATCAGTTCATTTACTCTTTTGTGCACCAATTAAGCCCCCTAATCTGCAAAAAATACAATTAAATATAAAATGTGAAGTTTCTTTTGAAGACTAGTACCTTGTGCAACATCTTGTGCTGGGCATTTTTGGCATGCTCACATTCAAATGGTTCAACATCAAAATTATCTTGTTGCAGAAGGCTCAAAATGTAACGTGCATAAACACCATCAATATTGCGATTCTCAAGTTCTTGTTCCAACCATTCCTGCAGAGAAGATGGTGTAGTACTAGATACCAGCCGCTGATACTTCATTTTATGAAGTTTCCTAAAACATTACAATGAAATTAACAGAACATTGTACACATTTTAAAACATAGCATGAATATTTTAAATAGCATTTTCAAAGAGAAGAGTCTTCTTTTATATGAGCATGAACAGACTAAAAAGTCAAATTTTTCACATTCAAAGACAACCTAAAATTATATAAAATTTATACATAATATCCCATAAAATTTACTTTGATGCAATTTATATACTGGTAAGCTACAGGCACAATTTAATAATATTGCATATGAAGCTGGAACTCTTTCTTGTCAACAAAAGCTTTTTATGCATCAGAATATTCTATCTAGTGCACAAAACAAATCTCTGCCATTTAACCAAAGATGGTGTCACTAGAAAGTTAAGTCGTCTGATGTAAAATATCATATCGTAAGGTTAGATATGAGTCAACAACATAACCTTGAAATAGTAGAGATTTTACATCAGCATCATATATTTTTTTTGTGTGTGAAAATAACAAGTTTTGAGCCGAATAAGCGTCATTTGTGGGAACTTTTGTTTTACTTCTTTAATTTAAAAAAATCTGTAGTAAGGCACATCGATTACTTGTAGAAGCATATGGTAAGGCTGCCAAAATGACAAAAGTTGTCGTGAGTGGTTTCAAAAGTTTAAGAATGGTGAATTTGACGTAGAAGACAAAGAATGTAGTGGAAGGTTGAAAGTGTATGAAGATGCAGAACTGGAAGCACTATTGGATGGAGATTTGTGCCAAATGCAAGTAGAACATGCATTTACATTAGGGGTGACTCAACAAGCAATTTCACATCATTAAAAATTATTGGGAATGAATCAAAAGCAAGGAAATTGTGTTCCATATGAACTGAAGCCAAGAAACGTTGAATGCCGATTTTTTACATGTGAAATGTTGCTTGCCAGGCATAAATGAAACAGTTTTTTTTTTGCACTGTATAGTCAATGGTGATGAAAAATGGATCCCCTATGATAACCCAAAGAAGAGATCTTGGGGACTACCTGGCCATGCTTCAACCATCAACAGCCAAGCTGTATATTTATGGAAAAAAATCATGTTGTGTATATTGTGGGATCAGCTTGGTGTCGTGTATTATGAATTGCTCAAACCAAATGAAACCATTACTGGAACTCTCTAACGAGCATAACTCATGAGAATAAGCTGCACATTAAAAGAACATCCACTACTACCCCACACACGACAGAATTATTCGCCTGCGTGATAATGCTCTTCAGATGTTGCGGTACTAATCAAAATATATTTCGAAACACACAAAAGAGAAGTTTTACCCTACCCGATATATTCATCAGCTATTGCTCCTTCTGATTACTACTTGTTTTGATCGATGACACATGGCCTATTTGAGCACATTTCACATCATATGAAGATACCAAGCACTTCACATCACATGAAGATACCAAAAATTGGGTCGATTCGTGGATAGTCGCAAAAGATGAAGCATTTTTCCGACATGGTGTCCTGCTGCTATGGGGAAAAGTAATGGCTAAGTGATGGACAATACTTTGAATAAAACATAAGGTACCATTTTTTTCACAATAAATACCCAATTTTTTTATAAAAACCGGTGGAGACTTATTTGTACTCCCAATAAATTTATTCACTATAGCTACAGAAACACACACTGCAAGATTTCTTGACATTTTAGGAAATCTGTTTGGTTATTTAATAACGAAAAGTTTCTTCATTGCTTAAAACTAAATTCTGCAAAGAATAAGATATATTCGTTTACTGACAAAAATATGCCATAGCAACTAAGGCTATATGCCTATATTTTGACCAAAGCAATTATCATATAGACTTGTTTTTGTGAATAAAAGCTGTCTATGCATTTTTCTGCATGTATACATTTAAGAACATGTACTTTTTCTATCAATTTCACACATATCCACTAAATATGTTTTGTTTTATTCTGTGTTTTGCCTTTGTTGCTTATTTTTTAAGCATGAGTGTACATAATGTACAAAATTAAACACAATGTAAAGAAAGAGTTTATTACAAATGACCACCAGCATATTATCTTAGATTACTTAAAAGTAATTTGCTGGCTCCTTATTATTTTTTCCAATGGCAGCACTTGCCTATAATGGCACTGGCCACTCCTAAAGCCAGAAGTGGTGAGAATTTTATTGTGGAGGCATGTAACAGGCGGTCACAGTTCCCTCCTATGAACGGACAGACAATTTTACAACTACGCCTTCTCCAGGATTCGAACCCAGGCCCTTCGGTATCGCAGTCAGGCTCCCCTAACCACTATAATGTCTGGACAATATTTTCTGCCTCTTTAAATCTGTGCTATTTGAATACAGTGAAAATAAACAGGGAAAAATCCTTGTAACATGATTCATGTTCCATCCTCACTATTTCGTCAATAAACTGGTCTGAATGGCATATGTGTGTTTGTACTCAGGGTCATGGTTGGCGTGTTTAAAATACCATGAGAAATTTTAAGAATATGAGAAAGTAGGAGAAACACATAGATCAGGCTGGCATGAGCATGATACAAATATGGAGAGTTGGCCACCTCCAGCAATAGATAACGGTTGACAAATTTATGAGAAAATGGTCGCAGAAAGACAGCCTACATAAAATGACTTACCCATTCTTTGAATATTTACCTCAGCTTTACAGCATTCAAAACTGATTTATCTTATAAATATTTTAATAGGAATTAAATGAATGCAGCATGATAAATTTTCAGCACTGAAAGGGAATTACTCAGTTATAGGATGACTACTCTGTTATGCAAACAGAAGGTAAAACTAAAATATTGGAAAAGAAAAATGATTCTTACTTCAATAAGATCTGAACAAAATGATCTGTTTGACTTCTGAATCCATATTTCCTACACAATGTGCTTATAACATTTTCCCACGGGTAGCTTTTAAAACTGCATGCATCCTTCTAGATAATTTTCTTTAGTGTAAGCTTGAGAGAAATACATTTCAATGAAATTTATGAAGCAGATCCCTAAACCTAGAGAGAGAGTACCATCAACTAATTTTAAGCAGAATTATTTGCAACATATACTTAAAATAATTTAAAGAAAAAAGAATAGACTTTAAAAAAATGTTTAGAAACAGGCTTACATGAACAGTTAAAATAAATTATAAATCTCATTTCTTATGCAAAAATACAAAATATCTTTTCGATCATAAGGGAACATAGTCATAAAAATTTTCCAATAAATGACTGCTTATAAGTAGTTCCTAACAGGATATTAACCAAAGTCACATCATTATTTGATGTTACAAGGTATAACGCAGTATTTCCTGCAAGTTTGAAAAAGCCTGCCAACTCTTAAAATTCTACAAAATTTTTATTGAGTAACCCATTTTAAAAATTTAATTTTTTTAACTAAATCAATTCATTACCATTATGCACTACAAGAGAAATTAAATACTACAAATAAAATAGGTTCTTTATCCCATTCAATTAATTTCATTTCTCTGAACTCAAACTGCTACAATCATATTAGTGATGAGATTTAAATAATCTAACCACTATCTGCAATACTAGCAACTTTTTGCATGTTAAAAAAAGTACTTACGAGTTTAACCCTTTGGCAGAAGTGAGATTAAACAAATCTTCTTTCCAAATATGCACGATAGCTGTCAGTTGTAAATTTTTAATGCAATCTGTGTTTGCTTGTGCCTACTGCAGTGCGTAAGTGGAATGCGAGCTCAGCTCGTTGATGATCATAAAACGGTTAAGCGCTAGGTTCTCCTGCACTTTTTCAGACACTGTATACTGAAAAAATATGCAATGTATTAATTATAATAGCAAAAATAATCCTAGACATATAATATAAGTCGCATTACAGCAAAAGTCTGATAATGTGGCAACTAATGATTCAGCACCTGTTTCACCACATTCCTGCCATGTGACTGCCTTTTACTCAATAATATCTAGAAGCATTACCCTTTCATTCAAAAATTTTTGGAAGCATTAGCCTTTTATTCAATAATATCTGGAAAGGCTTTTCACCATTTTCCAGTAGGTCCTAATTTTAATGCCCTGTTTTCTTTAAATACCTCCATTCGTTTAAAATATTTTCAAAACCTGATAAAAATATTGCTAACAGAATGAAACAGAAATAAACAATTAAGCTGGGTATCATTAAAAACTTAGCATCAGCGGTTAAAATAATCTTGAAAAGTTTTAGCTTCGCTGTAGCTCTGAGCTTCCAAATAACTGCAAAGGGCATATCACAGCCTCTGAACCAGTATAGGGAAACTTCGCTCTATTATAACTTTTACCAACGAATCCATCTTTGATCCAACCAATACATCAAAGACTGACTCAGAACTTAATAGCAACGTCTTTGTGCAATTTTTTTTTTTTAAATGCTAATTACAGGGTTGAATTCAGTGAAAGAAGGTGCAATTTTTATAGTTGCTGCTGCTTGGAAATATGTAAAATACATAATATTATAAAAAACTTGAAGAAAATTTGGACGAAAATGCCATGAAACAAAATTCTGTTAAAAGTGAAAATACCGATAATCAAATGACCAATCACCAAGTTACTGAAAATAGCTGAAAGTCTTTCTTTCAACAATCCATTATAAATCTTTCACAAAATGAACTTATTTAATGGGTTCAATATGACAAAGCACACAAACACTATCTGCCTAAGTGAAGAGAGGCCTTCATGGAGAACTTTTTAAGGGAAACTGGCTCGTATGCCCATCTGCCCAAGTTCAAACTACAAGTATTCAGTGGTTTTAACAAATCAGTACTAAACGGATAGAAAGAGATAAAAATGAACATACTGTTAACTAGGTGTCACTTGGTATAAAACATAAACATTGGCATGAAATGTAATTAGATGGCGGCATCCCTAATGAAACATAAAAAGGTTTCATGAAAAGAATAACTATTTTCTTAAATGCAGAAAAATACTAAACGACAAATGAAACAGACTTTATGGCATAAAAAAGCTGAAAATACTTGCTTCTTTTTATGCAGTTGTCACCACGAGATTAAATGAGGTAGGAACCTGGAAGGTCAAAGCCTATTTTGCCATTTTATAGACTGCATATTATATCAGGGTTAGTAACATTGCATTTGCGATTACCTTACACGATATCACATATGGCAGCTGCCTAAGCAACTGAAAATCTAGGAAAGAAAATTCCTGAATTGATGTTATTCTGTTTAGTGGCAAAAATGGCAATCAGGTTTGAAACTTTGGTGCATATTTAGCAACTGGCATAAAGTTGACAAAGAAGTGTCAAAATGAACCAACTGCGGAAAAGTTAAGTGATAATGTCAACACTGAGTGTGTTGAATTCAGTAGTAGTAGAAAAAAGGAAAATAATGGAGAAAATTCAACCAAAATCACTTAGCATCAGCCTGGCAAAGAGTTAAATATATTTAACTTCTCCCTTATCTGTCACTAAATACCAGCGAAATGACTGTATTTTTCTTTCACATATACATTTGATCATTTTTTTTTTAAGTTCGCCATGTTTTGAAAAATGTTATTCAAAACAGTTTTGTTAAAAAAATAATTTATTCAAAATGTTCTAAAAATGAGCTCTTATAAGTATTCAGACAATTTCAACAAACAATTTATATTTAATAAAAACATAAAAATAATGTGCCATTCAATATTTCTTTGAATATCCTTCAGCTGAAAAAACAGTTTTGATGTACTCTGACATGGATTCAGCTAATATTTTCAAGTAAGAATGTTCCATTTTGTTACACTCCTCTAAGAATTGCTTTCACTAGAGCTTTTGAAGAAATATCAAGTTTCCTTAGTCGTTTCTACCAACTCACTCCACACATGCTTGACAGGATTTTTAAGTCCAAAGAATATGGAAGAGTTTTGATAATTTCAAGACAGCAGCATAATAATCACAAGTAAGCACTTATGATTCAATGTTAGGATTGTTATCCTGATAAAACTTGAATGTACCTTGCATTCTAAGGCTGTTCAAACAGTTCTAGTTACAACAGCCAAGTTTTCTTGCAAATGCTTTCAGGTTTTCATCAAATATATTTATATTGATCTACATGATTTTCTATAAAAACTAAATTTTCCATTCAACAGGCAGTGAAACATTCCCAAATCATTATACCTCCACCCAAATGGGTTTATCTTTGGATTATGGTAACTTGGCAATTTTTTGGTGAAAATTTGGCGACCAACTCTGCTACAGCAACCCTCTATTTTTTTTTCGCCGCCATTTTGTCTTCACGAAGTAAAGACATGTTTCTTTTCTTTTTATTTACTGAACACTTTTTCCAACAATCTACTAGCCGAATTACACTTATGCTAGAAATTTTATGTAACAAAACTGCTTAATCATGACAAATATTAACTGCAAAATTGGGAAAAAGTGCACAATCGCAAACTCCTTGCATGTTTTTCAGAATAGCACATACACATAAACCATTTACACTACACGTCGACTTATTTTTACTTAAAAAAAAATCCCAGAATTGCACAAAAATGGCATTGCACACACTCTTACACTCTTAACTTTATCCATCTACACTGCTATTTTTTCTCATAAATTACAAAAATTTGCACACGAAAATGCAAAAAAAATTTCTGTGAATCTTTAAACTCGGTAAAAAGCACATATATGAAATTACCTGATCGCGAAAAAAGTATATACCCTTTCCAAGGATGAACATTTCCACGTATAAAATAAATAAAATATCCAAAAACTTTTACCTCTAAATTATCTATTATATTATAAACGTCACCAAAGAATTCATACCGCAAACATTACAAATGGTTAAAAATACTTAGTGTCAAATATTTAATTTATTTCCATACACGTTTACTTCAACTGAAACGTATACCAAATTCCTACAAACATAAAATTCACAAAATAACTATCATTTAATTAAAATATCACTAAACCATGTACACGTCGACTTATTTTTACTTAAAAAAAAACATCCCAGAATTGCACAAAAATGGCATTGTGCCACACTCTTCACTATATCCATGTACACTGCTTTTTTCTCATAAATTAGAAAAAATTAAAAATTTCACGAAAATGCATGAAAATACTCAACGTATTCTACTCAAAACGTATTCCAAAATACTACAAACATATAACTCACAAAATCACGATCATTAAATTAAATATAATTAAATTAAAAAACACTACTTAAAATATAAATAAGCACATACATTAAATTAATAAAAATTAGATTACAATCCTAATTACTTTAAACTAAATCATTGCTAATAACAATTTTCCAATAATACCATATTAATTTATTTACTCCTTACATTTAGAACAATGCATAAAAATAATATCCTCAAATGATTAAAAATACTAACTTACCTAATCTTCAGAATCTTCATTACGTGGCACGCACACTTCCACTATTTCACACAACACACAATGAAGCTTAATACAAAATAATATAGTACTACAGTTTTTCCAAATTCCCCCCCTTTTCCGATTAAAGAACTGTAATTCGTCCATTAATGTCACATGACATATCTCATGATCTCTCATTTCCCTTACACAAAATAATGCATAATCGGAACTGGGTACTTCTCACATTATTACCAAAGTCCTAGGTAGCAACCTTTATCGCCTCCAAAATGTCGCCAAACTACCAGTTACCATATTCCAAAGATCAGCCCCCAAATGCTTAAGAGTAAACAACAGACATTTCGAATTGTTCATTCAAGTTTCGTGGCACAATATTTCCTCCAACACACCCAAATATATTAAATTTTTACTCATCTACAAATATAACATTGTTTCTAAGTGATAAATGTTTGATTATGGAATTTGTGTGCTCTTTTCTTGTTGATGAAGAATTTCCTTCCTGCTGATCGTCAAACACATCCATGTGCTTTTAAAAAGTTTCATTGCAAAATATTGCTCAAAATCCGCTGTTAGTTTTACAGCACAAGTGTTTGGGTCTTATTTGTTCTTCATAGGATAAATCTATTTCATGATGTTAGCTTGGGACGCGGTTTAAACTACAGGGCACTTTCAACAGTTTCATACAATTTCTATCATTTTATGTAACATTAAAGATAGTTGAACACGTTACATCAAGGAATATCTGGTACTTACGTATTAACGTAACCATTTTAGTACAAGTTGCCAAATTTTCAGAATCTCCCAAACTCTAGTAAGAATGCACATAACCATTCTCCTGGCAACCATGCTCATAACAGTCCTTCAGTCAAGGAACACCTATATTTTCATATGTGCTATTGTTTGTAGTATTTCTAGTTCCAACAGTGGTTAGAGTAGATTTAAGGGTGTCCCTAATATTACTGTGAAGTTGTTGTTTCATTTATGGTAACCTGAGTAGTTGAATGTTATGGAAACCCTATTATGATGTAATTGGTTGCGTGATTGTGGTGAATTTGAATGATGGGAAAGATAAGTAAGGGCTTGTGGTGTTTGTTCATTGGGAAGTTCATTGCTTGGCTTGTGGTTTAGATGGTAAAATGGCTGAGTGTGGTGAGATTAATTTGAAGTTTCTGTACAACTTGGAATGAAAGGGGAAAATAGCATTAATTGACTGATGTGCAAACGAAGGTTTACTTAGTTGCTATTATAAGTGTCTTGTTTATAAGGAAAGAAATGCGTATGGTTGAATGTCAGAGGATACCGGCACTACCAGAGTCGTAGCTACGGTTTTCAGCGCCCAGGGACAACTGAAGATTTCGCGCCTTCTACTGCTTGCCAAGGATGGAAAATATTTCTAAAATGTCGTAACATCAGTTTGGCGCCCCCTGGATTCTGCGCCCGGGTACAGATGCCCCCCCTCTAACTACGCCCCTGGGCACTACGGAGAATATTTTTGACTCTTTGTGAATTTATGTGGTGATGCCAGTATGTAGATTCTAGTTCAGATAATTTTAGGAAGTGTTTGGATGCTGTTAATGAATTTTGTCTGACTGAAGACAAGAAAATTTCTAAATAAGGTAAGTGTATATTTCCTTTATGAAGTGAAGATTCCTTTTTTATGTTATTTGATTGTTTTATTTAAAATGTAGTTTATTGGAGATTATAAATTTTTTTGTTGGCTGCTCCTTCGACCTTTTTAAGTGAAAATAGATCGATGTGTACATGGACAGAGTCATGGGAGTGCGCAATGCCAAGTTTGTGCAATTCTCCGATATTTTTAAGTGGAAACAGGTTGATGTTTTTTTAAGTGAAAACAGGCGGCAATTTTTTTTTGTCTCTGATGTTTTCTTAAGTGTACATAGGTGGCAATTTTTGTGCCAAAAATCGGTGCTACACAAAGCCAAAAAAAACAAGTCACAGAATTACACAAACTCGGTATCCATGTACCGCCAAAAATCACAAAATTTTTGTCAAGGGGCATCTGTAAATCTCTTTTTACCCCAACACATTTTATACACAAATAGGGATATTTTTTGCCTTAGTTTTAAAATAAAAGCTTGTGAAATTTCCCAGAAGTAGAAGAAACTGCTGTAAAATTTCTGCAGGAATACAGAATTTCGCTGAAAATTTTCTAAAGAGAACATAGAGGAAATGCAGCTGTTGCTGAGGTTTGCACTAAGGCAAAACTCCACAACTCTCTGATTTTTTTTCAAAGCCAAAATAGATCACTATGGTAGAAGAATAGCACAAAAAAATTACAGAAAGATTTCCAGAAGAATGTAAGTGTTTTACTTTTTTTTTTTAAAATTTATTACATAATCCTTATTCAAGAATTAAAATTTGTATTTTAAACTGTTGAAGTACATTTCCTTTTTGTATGTTGATAATGTTTACTTACAATAAACATGGATAGCTTGGGAATCTTTCTAAAAAAAAAAAAAAAAAATAAAAAAAAAAAAAAAAAGAGAAAAGAGGCGCAAAAACCATCAAATTGCACCCGAGAAGTAACTTTAACATTTTCATCTGTAAAAAATCACAAAATTACAGCAATGTGGTTGTGTTAAAAGGTAAGTAATGATACTTTTGATATTTTGAATATTTTATGCATCTTTAAAATGATTAATAATTAAATTTTTAACAGTTTTATTATTAATTTGTAGCACCCCATCATATTCATTTCAGATATGGAATTGTTAATATATGTTTACTAAATAACTTCGATAATTCTTGGGATGTATTTTCATTTAAAACAAAAAGTATCATCTACCAAAACATTCAACAAAACTTTTGAATATCCAAATTATTATGAGAGTTTCTAATTAACACTTTTTGAAAAAATTATTTTGGGTAGAATAGACTATAAGGTACCCCTTGTATTATGGTGAAGTTGTTGTTCGATTTATCGCCAAGTTTTTGTTTGATTTATCGCCAAGTTTTTTGATTTATCACCAAGTTGTTGTTTGATTTATCGTTAAGTTGTTTCATTTATGGTAGACTGAGTAATTCAATGTTATGGAAATCCTATTGTGACGTATTCGGGTGCATGATTCTGGAAAATTTTTAATCATGGGATGTGTTGTAAGCGTTTTTGTAGTGTGTGTTGTTTGTGGTTTGATTCTTTAGATGGTAGAATGGCCAAGTGTAGTAAGATTAATTTGAAGTTTCTGTACGATTTGGAGCGAAAGGGAAAAAGAGCTTTAATTGACTGGTGTGTAAATGAAGGTTTACTTAGTAGCCATTATAAGTGTCCTGTATGTAGGAAGGATATGCGTCTAGTCGAACCTAAAAACTGTTTAGATGGATTTGAATGGGTTTGTAGGAAGAAAGGTTCACATGGTCACTATGTGAAGTGTTCGATCAGAAAGAGTACCTGGTTTGAAAAAAGTCATTTGAGTATGATTGATATTTTTATTTTTACGTGGTTCTGGGTGTACAAAGCGAACTCGAAAATCATGGTAAGTGAATATTTGCTTTTGGTAGTGCTTAAATGTATAACATGTTTTTTCCTTTTTTATGTTATTTTATTGTTTGGTTTAAAATTTATTTTATTGAGATTATGTATTTTTTGATTGCCTATATTGTAGAATTTGGTGCTCCTTTGACTAGAATCTATCAATGTGTACATGGACAAAGTAAAGGGAGTGTGCAATGCAAGTTTGTGCAATTCTGGGATGTTTTTTTAAGTGAAAATAGGTCGACGTGTACATGGATAAAGTTAAAAGAGTGCGCAACGCTATTTTTGTGCAATTCAAGTATTTTTTTTTTTTTTAAGTGAAAATAGGTCAACATGTACATGGATAAAGTCAAAGGAGTGCGCAATGCCATTTTTGTGCAATTCAGATATTTTATTTTAAGTGAAAATAAGTCAATGTGTACATGGATACTGAGTTTTGTCTTGTTATTTTGGCTTTGTGTAGCGGCGAATTTTATCGCAAAAATCTCCGCCTTGCAAACCAAAATATCGAGTCAAAGAATTGCACAAAATCAGTATCCATGTACCGCCAAAATTCGCCAAGGGGTACCCTAACTATACTTTTACCAATTATTTTATTACAAGATACATTTTTATATTTAGTAACAAGAAAGGCCTTAAATAGGAGAAATTTTCTGAAGTCTTATGTTTCAATATTTAGTACAAAATTTATGCAAATAAATTTCAAAAATGCAAATGTTTGAAAAGAAATGTGAGCCACTGTATGTGGATTGACTCTTATCATGTTACCAAAATAATAAATTTATACAAAAGCTGAAAATGAATGTGCAGCTAACCATAAACTACCACATATAATTTTAAACTTGTCACAGTAATGCATTTTGTTGTTTAAAATGAAAAATAAAAGCAGCATCTACACATGGACCTACTTACTACTATCTTACTTCTTGCACCCTTATTCTCATTTAGAGGCTAGAAAAAATGGACAAATAAATCACAAGTCTAAATATTCTGTTCTTCAATAAAAAAAAATATAAAAAAGAAAATTATATACCTGACAATAAATATTTTTTCAATTCACTGTAACTTATAACTTCTTGGTTACAGAACAATGAAATAAGACATTTTTGTTCAGATACGCTTTATTAAATCATTCAAAGAAAAGTAAAACTCAGTGACAACGGAAAAACGGATTAATGAAAATAATGAACTCACTTAAGATCTAATAATCACTACAACCTAACAAAATTTAAAAGAATTTTACTTAACAGTTTACAATTACGGCTTTTTACACAAAAATCGGAGATGCAAAAAATCTCATTTTAAAACAAAATTGACAAACCATAGCAGAATTATGAATACAATGTAAAATTTACTTAAGGTCAAACTGGAAAAATAAAATTTAACGTTCAAAAGAGTTTAAAAAGAAAAGGAAAATAATGAATGCACAGTTTTAACACAATCCTTCGAATGCACAAATTCAATAAGATCGATCACAAACTGCACTTTCGAGCAGAATTTAAAATAAGAGAGCCGTTAAAGAATATAACCTTGTTTCGATAGCAAAGGCCTTGGATATTAATTTAAATGTCCTTGAGTAATTACGTGAACTTGAGCACTTGATCTGACACAGCTATGTAAAACTTGACAAATAACAGTATAAATCACAGAGCTTACCTAAATTTAAAATACCTCCGTAAATCATAGAACATTCGAACACATAAAATGACAGATAAGCACTACGGATAACGTTTCTGATAGCTTGCAGAAATAAAAACTGTTTATAAAATTTATCATCAAACGATCAATAACCCAGGCAACTAAATTTAAACTTAATATTTATACAGCGTGAAAAAATAGAAGAGATGCATCAGCAAAATGACAGGAAAGTGGTAACTAAAACTAACGTTCATGACAAACAAAAATATAAACACTCGTCATGTCCTAGGGTCGAATAGCGTACATCGATCGATAGAATCAGATTTAAGCCGTGAGTGACATCATCGATAAATTTCAATATTATTTGCAATTAAAAATCTTTATCTTCTCTAAAAATTAGCATCTTTAGTTTATACCATACTTTTATTAATTATTTACTACATTTAGATAAAGAGAAAGGAAATAAAGTGAAGTAAAAGAAGCGAAAGCCGGTTAGTGTTTCATTATTAAAAAAAAAAAAAAAAACTTTAGTGGGTCATTAAATAGAAATTTCTGCACTATTTACAACATAAGTGCAAAAATGCAACCTGCAAAAATGCAACCTGCAAAAATAAAGACCCAGGTTTTGCAATATGACTTTCACTATAATATCCGACGTATATTCATACTGAAAGAATGCTTATTAAATTTGACAGACGTTTTGACACTGGTATCCAAAATTACGCGTACTATAGAAACTATAGAAAGTACTATAGAAAAAAGTTACGCTTGTTCCATAATTTTAACGAATTGCTATTTTAAATTCAGACATTATGCTTAGATTTCATGACATCAACTTCCAGTAGGTAAGTAGCCCAAAGCTAATGTAAACCATCGTTAGTAGACTCTAGAATAACATGCTTGTCTCAACTTCAATAAACAGAAAATTGTATTTGAACTGCCATTTTTTGCTATGTTCGTAGACAAGTGCTATAGACATACACACCCACCCACACACATCTGTGTTTATATGTATATGTATGTGTGTGTATAAATAGATAAAGAAAGAAATTCAGAACTAATTTTTCACAAAGACTAAAAATTGATGTCCATAATTAACAAATTTCAATACATCCTTTAAAATAGAATAAGAATTCTGTAAATGTTAAATGAAAAATTTAAATAAACCATCACAAGAAAAAACAAAATTAGATAAAATAAAAAAACAATAAAGAACGCGAAAGAGGAGGAAGCCAATTAATTCTAATATAACGTGGTCAGGATGAGGATACATCGAACTCAATTACAGTTCCTTTTCCTTAGGAAAAATCCTTGCTTTTCTTTAGCAAGAATTAGCTGATGAACTATTTCAATACATTTTTAACCTAACACAAACCCAAAAGGGACCTAAAAAACATCGAATCAATTCACCCCTGAAAAAAACTTGCTGTAAAGAAAGTAGGAAAAAAGAACCTGAAAAAATAAAAGGAAAAAATTTAAAAAAAAAAAAGTAAAAATTCCCTGAAAAAATGAAAAATCTAAAGTAATAAATGTAGAAAAAAACAAGTCAAATATTTTTAGGGAATAAACAAACAAACTGGCAATTTAAAATTAAAAACTATCTACAATGTAGAAAAAATTACAAAAAACTTTGCAAAAAATCCTATCGAACACCAATTCGAAAGCATCGAAAATTACTAGAATCTAAGGGTTGCCGGGTGGTATTTTGGCGAAACTAAAAATAGGCGAAGTGTAAGAAGTGAATTTACTACAAAAAAGAATTTTAAATTTCAAAAACGCATTTAGAATTTGAAATTCAAATTCAAAAACAAACTGGTGAAGGTGAATCGAATTAGTAAGTACAACTGCGATTTGATTGCGAAACAAAAGGAAAAAAGAGACACTTTTTAAGAGATTTAAGGCTTGTGTTAAATCGCCAAGGTTTGATTTATTGCCTTAAGTATCGCAATTTATTTAAGTTGTTTGATTTATCCAACTTGTTATGGTTAGGTTGAAGGAATCTATGTTGTCGAACGTTTTTCTGGAAAGAGCGTTTTGTGGTGTGCGCCTGTTTGTGAAAGACGGTAGAATGGCCAATAGTAAGAGTCTACAGAGGTACGATAATTGGAGAGTAGCGTTTTAGTAGATTATAGTGTCAGAGTTATGAAGGATATTTTGAATTTAAAAAGCTCGATGATTTGAAATTGTGAAAGTAACTCGAAATCATGTGTTGGGAATATGGCTTTTCGAAGCAAAATCATGGTTTTTTTTGACCTTTGTTTTAATGTAGTTTAACATGTTTTTCCTTTTTTATGTTATTTTATTGTTTGGTTTAAAATGTATTTCATTGAGATTATGTATTTTTTGTTTGCCTATATTGTAGAATTCGGTGCTCCTTTGACTTTTTAAGGGAAAATATATGAATGTGTACATGGGCAAAGTAAATGGAGTGCGGAATGCAAGTTTGTGCAATTCTGGGATTTTTTTAAGTGAAAATAGGTCGACGTGTACATGGATAAAGTTAAAAGAGTGCGCAATGCCATTTTTGTGCAATTCGGGGATTTCTTTTTAAGTGAAAATAGGTCGACGTGTACATGGATAAGGTCAAAGGAGTGCGCAATGCCGATTTTGTGCAATTCGGGGATTTCTTTTTAAGTGAAAATAAGTCGATGTGTTTATGGATACCGAGTTTGTGCAATTGTTTGTCTTGTTATTTTGGCTTTGTGTAGCGGCGATTTTTGGGGCAAAAATTGCCGCCTCGCAAGCTAAAGTAACGAGTCAAAGAATTGCACAAAGTCGGTATCCATGTACCGCCAAAAATTGCCAAGTTTCGTCAAGGGGTACCCTAAACTATACCTTTACCCTTTAAATTTCTAAATATTTAATATACTTAAAAATTGCAAGAGACTAAAAGGGTTGTCAATTTTGTGCAATGTAAAAACTAATGTTGAAGGAGTTTAAGAAATTTCCTAATGGTGCACTTACGACTATCTTGGCTAAAGCTCAATGAATATACCGTTTCTTCCTGTCTTCCAACAGAACGACATCGCCTACTTGCAAATGTGGAAATTTTCCCATCTTTTTCGCCTGTTGTTTCATTTGACCAAGATATTCACTACGAAACTTGTTTATTACATTGTCTCTTATTCTGTGTCGCTACTTGGCTTGGCGCTTTAATTCTTTGCACTCTACGCAATCAATATCAGGAACGTCTGATAATGACAGTTATTAAAGGAACATCATAGTGGTCAATGGTGAAAGATATTGATTGTCCTACGATACGTATGTGACAGGTTGCAAATTAATCACTTCCTCATAGTTGCATTCACAGTTACTTGTTCACAGTTGTACTTAATTCCTCGTAATTTAAGGAGGTTCGACCTAATACTCTTCTTAAATTCTCTTCCACCATTGCACAAGTCGCTTCAATCAACCTTCCCACCAGGCGGCAGTCAGAAAGTTGAATTTTCATCGTATGATTTAGATAGAAGCAGCTGAGAATATGGCGTTCCAACTCACTTCATTAAGAACACTGCCAGTTCCAATAAAATTAGTTCCGTTGTCAGAATATATCACATAAGGTCTATCTCTTCTGGTAAGGCATCTACGTAGGGATTGGGTGAAAGTTTCTGTGGACAGGGAAATAATTAGCTGTAGGTGCACGTATACAAGAATATTCATGCTTTAGATCAGGGATTCTCAACTGGTGGTACGCGAGAGAAAAGTGGTACACAAAGAAGCAAAGTATTTGTAAGCATTAAATTCAAAATTTAAAACCCCAATATCCTGACTGAGTTTTTTTCTCTACTAACACTCGTAAATTTCTGCGATCTGAGCTTTGTTCAAGAGTGCTGGTGGCAGTAGTACTTTGTAGTGGTGGTACTAACGATTTTCAATTTTTGTTTAGATGGTACGCGTTAGTCAAAAGGTTGAGAACAGCTGCTTTAGATCCATCAGGGAGATAGAGAGGATCCATCAAATCTACATCTACGACTTCAGAAACTGCCTTTTCTTTAACTGGATTCTTTAACTTCTTTAATTGGATTGGATGAAAGTTTCTGTGGATGGAGAAGTAACTAGCTGTAGGTGAATAGCACACGTATACAAGAATATCCATGCTTTAGATCCATTACAGAGATAGAGAACACCCACCAAATCTATATCCACGACTTCAGAAACTGCTCCTTCTTTAACTGGGTCTTTGCGTGGAAATCCTGGCTCGATTTCTACTGTGTATATTACAAATCTTTTAATTGTTACACATTTCCTCATCAAAATGTTTCACTCAGATATGTTGTTAAAGAGTTGATACCCGCATATTGGAGTTCTAGGTGTTTCTCGTACATTAGTCTCTGAACATGAAGGCGTTTTGGAGGTAAAATGAAAGGACATCGGAAACGTTCTTCATCTTAAGCTGCATTTTGAATGTGTTCTTATTTGTGATGAGATATTAAGTGATTTTTATGGATTTTGCTTTCCTCATGTAGGAAGAGCTTGAAGCACGGGAACTTGTGCGTAACATCGTGCGTAACCTACCGGAAGAAATTACTAATTTTGCTGACGGATTACTGGATAAGGACTGGAGTGAACTGCTACTGAAGGATAAATTAACTATTCAAGATGTTGTTAGTGTGCCGAAAAGTGCTGAAACAATTCAATCTTTTCTTACCCAATTTTATGACCAGTGCAAAGATCCCTTAAGCAAAATTGTTAATGATCAAGCTAAATCGAAATTATTAGCATGGGCCGGACGGCAATGTGGTATAGCTGAGGGACTCCTACAGTTATTTCAAGGTAAGTGCGAGTTTGTTGGTGAAGTTAATCCTAATCTTGCTAATATTTCTTTGTATGATTAGCGTTGATAAAACAGTTAGTGATATTTATCAGTATGGCATCCCCAGGGATGCGAAAAAGTTTATTCATATTCTATGCCATGATGCTCCGGATGATATTTTGGAAACTGATGTATTTCAAATTCCTATAATTATTAAGGTTTCAAATACTTCCAACGTTTCTGTACATGATAATGAAAATAATGCACCCAATGTGTCTGTTACTAGTAATGTGCCCATTGTTTCTATACCTGCCAAAACAACTAATGCTAAATCTAGCAATGCTGCTCTGCCTGAAAAAGTTTTGATAAAACTCAGAGTTCTTTCTGATAATGATAAAATTAAGCCCAAGCGGCCTTCGAAAAAAGTATTAAACGTTCAATTACTCAGACTCAGGATGTGGATGGGTTCACTTTGCCCAGGAATGTGGCTAGGCTCATCCAAACTTGTTAAAAATAATATTAAAATATGTGTTAGTAATAAGTTTGAAAAATTGGTAAATGATGAAAATATTGATAATGTTATGGACACTGCATCAGTAGTTGAGGTGACACCTCCAAAAATTAGGCCCATAATGGCCAAACCTGACCTTAAATATTCTGAATTGTTTAAGAAAATGAAAGAATAAACAAAGTTAAACTTTGCCGGAAA